AAATTGAAAAAAAATCGTAAAAAGTTCAAAAATCTTCGAAAAATTGCTAAAATTGTGGTATTAAAAATCGACTACTCTTTTAAGTTTCAACAAGAATCAGAAATTTTTGAATTTAAATTTTACCGCTTCTCACCGTCCTAGTGGTTTTTACTATTTTTTATCAGATTTCCTCGCAAAATGCGAAGGTCCGTTGATGCCGAAGTACCCCGGAGCTCCACTGAGAGACGATCTCGATGCATCTTTTGTGGATAAAGATTTTGCAGACTTTACTCGTGAGTGGTTACAAATGTTAAATAATTTATAAAATTTTCGTAATTCTGATGTAATTTTTTTCATGAAAATGCACTCAGACTTTTACTCTTCTTTAGCAATTTCTTCTCAGAATTTTCACCAGCGTCACCTATACATGTAGTTTTATTTATAGTTTTATATAAAAGTTTTATAAAGTTTTATAAGGTTTATAGTTTTTATTAGTTTTATAAGTTTTTTAAAGTTTTATAGTTTTATAGTTTTACATTTAGTTTTATATGCAGAGCATATGCATATTTTCGCGCACCGAGATAATGAAAAAAGTCTGATTTTTCATCAGGGTCGGAAAATAAGTTGCTTTGGCGTTTGCCGTTGCGTATGAAAACGCACAAGTCGATAAAAGAGGGGCAAGAGGCTATCGAAGGTCACGCAGCTGAGTTAACAATGCCAGTGCTGGTAAGGTCGATTTACATGGGGAGTCGGGTTGGTTTTCTGAGGATGTTCGGCGAGGTGTGGTATTAATTATTGGAATTCATCCGTTTTACGTGAAGTGGCGAAATGCTCTATGGACAAGCCGATATTCGCGGTGATATGCAGTAGTCGTGAAATATGTTTTTTTCACTAGTGTTTTTCATATCACTAGGGTGGTGAAACTCCATTGATGAATATTTTCATGTGGTATTAGAATCATAGTTTCTTTACTTGTTCAAAATAGTTTCATGAATCGGCACTAGAGGCAGTTGATTTGCCTACTTGAGAGTGAGCGAACATTTGAGGAGGAGTTTGGGTCTCTATCAATGTGAGAAGAAAATATGCACATGGTCAACTACATGTGTTGGTGAGAAATTTTTGGCAAATTCTCATTGATTTCTGTGCACTTCTACCCGAATTCATATGTGAAGTCTTCGACTTGTGATCTCAGCTGAGGAGAGCGAACATATATTCCTCCAACACTGTTTTTTTCACATGGACGATTACTCCTTTTAGTGATAGAATTATGTTATTGTTTTTAGATTTTGCAAGCGGAAAATGATAAGGTATCTTCCGTAGACGGTTCGAGATTACTCTTTGACCTTTGTGGTAGCAAAGACAAATGCATTAAAGTCTATAAGGACTGTCCAGAGGCCGGATTGAAGTAAGAAAAAAGCACCCGGTGGGGATCGATCTCGGGACCTTCGGCATGAGAGTATATGGTCAGGTATGCTCACGAACTGCTCAGTGCTGAGCCTTCCGAAATGGCCAAGCTTGTATATGATGATATAACAACTTGGATTAGTGCAAGAAAGACTTCCACTAAGGCTGTTGAGAGCAGTCAGGCCCCTTCGACGGCTGCAGTGTCACCCGCTTCTCGGAGTTAATACAGATGATTATGATGATGAAGTTATTGATCATCAATTCAATTGAATTTACTTTACAATGGCTTCTTTATCGAATTCATCATCTTGATAAGTTACCGTTCCTCACTTTATACTGTTACTTATCTGACCAGGTTTTGTCGGAAAAGATAGCGGCTTTGAGTTAATCTCAGTGGTGTGGGGGAGACCTCGGTAAAATACAAAAATAATTTGAATAACAGCGGAAACGAAATGTGTGTTGGAAAAGTCAATTAAAACTGACTTCTCGGGAGCACCGCGACCGCAGACTGACGCCAGCGACGCAGGTTGGAAATATTGCATTCCGTCAATGTGGGTCAATCGCTCCGAGTGGACGTAGAAATTTGTAAGAAAGTTATTGTACATGAAGTCCAGGAAAAAGGAAATTAGGAAAAATTTACTAGAGATGATCTCCACCTGGTGAGGTTAGCCTTCCCAAGGTGAACTTTTTGAGTAAAAAAAAGCAACCTTTTGGTCAATCGGAGCGACTGCGCAAAAGTCCAACACCGAAAACACGGATTAGTGCATACTAGCTTATGCGGAATCAATTTTCATTCTATTAAATTGACAATTTAGTAGATTTTAAGTATCATATTATTTTATAGTATTGACGTTGAATAGTATGTTATTCATAACTCCGAGAAATGTTGTCTACAGTGTAGAGAAAGTACTGCGTTCTCTCATGCCTCGATTACTTTAACACGAAACAGAACCTTTGCATATGCGTGCAACTGGAAGATACAATACTTAGTATACCGTTAATACATCTCAACAACAACATCATCATGCTCAATAACTAATACGAAATGAAGCGCGTATACATTCTGTATTCGCGTGCAGTGCACGCATGAACAAAAGTTTATATAGTCACATAATTATCAAATTGATGAGTTCGAGACCACTACTAAGCGGATCCTGCCGATTGGAAAGGAAGTACATTGGGAAAGCTTGTCTCGTCTTGTGGACAAAATTCATTGGAGTTTCACCCGTGAAGTGAAAAACACATTTCACATTTCACTTCGCGAAAAACGCATGTGAGCAGTGAATTTCACGTAAAACATGTGAGGTGTTTTTCAGGTGATATGCAAAACGCGAAATTACAGTATTTCGCGTTTTGCGCGAAATATGCATATTTGGAGTCATTATGCATACAGTCTCAAACCTTGCACTGGCTATAAATCAACACTTCAAATATCCTAGGGAAACCTGTCTCTAATTTGCCACCCCTATCCCAGTTAGTTGATGGTACAGAAAATCAAAATTCATCAAGACCGCTACCATCATCACTCCCATCACTCTCATCATCACTCCGTGCGCCATCGGAAGACTCGACTTGGCTGCCGCCGTCACCATCTCCATGAACACTTGTTCCCCTCCGGCTATCTTCAGAGGTCCGGACCAATAGAGCCTCTATGCGCATTGCGCTGCCAGCCAGCAGCGTCGAAGCGTCAGCCGTCTGGTTTGGGCGGCCAGTA